TACCCAGACTTTGCCTCAAGGAGATCACATTCAAGCAGGGACACAATTACTCCAGAATGTGGCAGACAAAGGAACCAAATCCTCTGATTCTCTCTCTCTCTCTCCTTCCTTCCTTCCTTCCTTCCTTCCTTCCTTCCTTCCTTCCTTCCTTTCTTCCTTCCTTCCTTCCTTCCTCTTTCTCTTTCTCTCTTTCTTTCTTTCTTTTCTTTTCTTTTCTTTTCTTTTCTTTTCTTTCTTTTTCTTTCCTTCTTTCTTTCTTTCTTCCTTTCTTTCTTTCTTTCAAGTCAGAGTTTCACTCTTGTCCAGGCTGGAGTGCAATGGCCTCAGGTGATCCACCCACCTAGGCCTCCCTAAGTGTTGGGATTATATGTGTGAGCCACTGCATCTTCCCTCCTCCAATTTTCACAGAAAGAGGCACAGAGAAGTTTGGCACCCAACAGAAATGCATTCAAATATCAGCTTCCCTAGTTCTTGGATCAAGCTTCTCTGGTGCTCAGTGATTTCCTATGAAAGGGAATGAGAGGGGTCTGCCATGAAAAAATCATGCTTCTAGTGCCAGGCAAGGTGACACTCACCTGTAATCTCAGCAACTCAGGAGGCTGAGGTGGGATGATCGCTTGAGGGACTACCTGGGAAACATAGGGAGACCCCATCTCAAAAAAAAAAAAAAAAAAAGCCAGGCATGGTGGCTCACATCTGTAATCCTAGCACTTTGGGAGCCCAAGGCAGATGGATCACTGGAGGTCAGGACTTCGAGACCATCCTGGCCAACATGGTGAAACTCCATCCCTACAAAAAATACAAAAATTAGCCAGGTGTGGTGGTGCATGCCTGTAGTCCCAGCTACCTGGGAGGTTGAGGCAGAAGAATTGCTTAAACCCAGGAGGTGGAGGTTGCAGTGAGCTGAGATCACATCACTGCACTCCAGCCTGGGAGTCTCCACAGAGCTAGACTCCATCTCCAAAAAAAAAAAAAAAAAGACATCAACAAAAATTGGTGATGAATGCAGTAGCAGTGGCACTGCCCAGCTAAAATACATATATATATATGTATATATTTGTATTTTTAGAAGAAATTAGGTTTCTTCATGTTGGCTAGGCTGGTCTTGAACTCCTGACCTCAGGTGATCCACCCACTTAGGCATCCCAAAGTACGGAAATTACAAATGTGAGTCACTGCATCTGGCCCCCCTCTTTTTTTTTTTTTTTTTTTTAGGGAGCCTCCCTGTTTCTCCCAGGCTGGAGTGCAGTGGCAAAAACTCAGCTCACTTCAACCTCCCCCTCCCAGGTTCAAGTGATTCTCTGGCTCAGCCTCTCCAGTAGCTGGGATTACAGGAGTGTGCCACCACGCCAGGCTAAGTTTTGTATTTTTGATAGAAATGGGGTTTTGCCATGTTGACCAGGCTGGTCTCAGACTCCTGACCTCAGGTAATCCACCGGTGTTTGGCCTCCCAAAGTGCTGGAATTACACACAGGATCCCACCCCACCCCCATTCAAGTAAATTTCTTGATTGCACAGAATGAGAATGTATGGTGATATTGGTGGACTTATACAGTCATCCTCTCCAGCATTGGGTGTTGTCAGTGTCTTGGGTGTGCTGTGCTCTTTGTTTGATTTTTTTGAGACAGTCTTGCTCTGTTGCCAGCCTGGAGTGCAGTGGCATGATCTTGGCTCACTGCAACCTCTGCCTCCCGGGTTCAAGCAATTCTCCTGCCTGAACCTCCCAAGTAGCTGGGACTACAGGCACACACCACCATGCCCAGCTAATTTTTTTAAAAAAGTATTTTTAGTAGAGATGGGGTTTCACCATGTTGGCCAGGATGGTGTCAATCTCTTGACCTCGTGATCCGACTGCCTCAGCCTCCCAAAGTGCTGGGATTACAGGCATGAACCACTGTGCCTGGCCTGTGCTCTGCTTTTAAACTCTTCTTTTTAAAGTGGGGCAGATTGGAAGGTGTACCTTGTTTTCATTGCCCACATGAAGCTTGTTTTGAACTGTTTTATGTTCACAGTTTGGGATTTTTGAGGCAATATTGCTGAGCTGTCCTGTGAACCTGAATTTGAGCCCTTTATCTGCCACCAACCTTGCCATGTGACTATGAGCAAGGTACCTAGCCTCTCTGTTCTTCAGTTTTTTTATCTGTAAAATGCAGATTATGCCCTGCTCATAGCACCAGTGTGAGGAATAAATGAAGATATGTGTAGATGACTTTTACATGGTATGTGACACTTGGTAGGCACCAAATCATTGTTGCTGGGAGGATTAGCACATTCTTGCTTGTCTACACACAAACACACACACACACACACAGAAATTGCAGAGGTAGTACCAAGAGTCCCCATGTACCTGTACCCAGCTTCCCCTATTATTAACATCTACATTAGTACGGTGCATTTGTTAAAATTAATGAATAAATATTGAGATGCTTTTATTAACCCAAGTCTGTACTTCATTCAGATTTCTTGGGGTTATTCCTAACGTCCTTTCCTGTTCCAGGGTCCCATCTGAGACACTGCATTCCATTTCATCATTTCTCCTTAGGCAGTCTCCCTGGCTGGGTCACTTGATGAGTTTCTTTTGATTACATTGAAATTAAATTTTGGTGCAGATGATGAGATCTCTGTTACAGAATTCTTAGGTTAAAATTTAGTCACAACGGCTGGGTGCTGTGGCTCATGTCTGTAATCCCAACACTTTGGGAGGTCGAGGCAGACTGATCACTGAAGGCCAGGAGTTTGAAACCAGCCTGGGCAACATAGTGAGACCCCTGTCTCTACTAAATATAGAAAAAAGTTTGCCAGGCATGGTGTCACACACCTGTAATTCCATTTACTCTGGAGGCTGAGGCATGAGAATTTCTTGAACCGAGGAGGCGGAGGTTTCAGTGAGCTGAGATCATGTGACCATAACCCAGCCTGGATGATGAAGCCAGATTCTGTCTAAAAAAAAAAAAAAGGCAAACCTTATTCACAAAATTATTATAAGGCACCAGGTAGTAGCCCTTGAGCTGTATGTGTAGTAGACTCCCGAGATCTTAACCTGAAGTCTGCCCTAGTATGGCAAAACCCGTTTGTATGCCAGAAAACAGACCCAAGCTGCCGAAAACCAGCTGTACCACATCCTGCCCCATTTGTCCTCCCCCAACTTCTGGTAGATAATGGCCATTGAAAAATGCTGGTTGGGCTGACATGGTGGCCTGAGCAATAACACATCTCAGGAATGTGGGGCTGGGGTGGGGTAGGAAAAGGAGGCCACTGTGTTTTTTCTGACCATCACCTCAAAACTGCTGGTGGCTTGGTGCTGGTGGATATCACCCCAGCATGTTAGCTGAGCTGTGTGGTTTCTCTGAATGTTAGTCACTTTCACTGTTTTGGCTTGTGTTTCCTCCTTGATATCACCAAATGAAAACATATGTCAGACATTTTCAGTTTCTGGTGTCAAATCCAAGCTGTTTTATCAGCCAATACCCCCCACCAGACAATAGAGTCAGTGTGCTGGAGCAGAGCTGCTTCCCCTTTGACACTGGCTCTTTTCTAAGAACTGAAAATAAGCTGCAGAGCCTGTGACTTCACTTTTCTTGGAACTGCTTTACATTACTCCCCAAAATGCAGAAAACCGTCATTTAGCAGCTTTCAGGTTGCTGAGTTCCCTAATTCTGTTGCATATTCCTGTAATGCTCAGGTTTGACTGACAAATTCTGCATCAGGTGAAGCTGGAGGGGGAAGGAATGACCGTGTGAAGGAACTAAGTGCTTTGTCATTTGGCCTGTTTGTGGTTTAATGGTTGATGAGAAAAGGTACCTGGAAGAGACACTGTGTGTAGAATGCCTTCCAATTCCAAGAGTCACAACCCTGTGATCTTTTGGTCAGCAGTTGGCTAGGGCTGGGGCAGATGAACATCAGGCTACAGTCCAAACTTACAGAGCAGCTGCAAGGACAAGGGGAAAATGCATTTTCAGCCATAGTGACCTACATTTAGTAGATACATTGGAGCTCGTGCAAAAGGACATCTTCCAAGGGCCTCTGCCTCTTTGTGATAAGGGAGATAGTTATATCAGCCAAACCTGGGATCCAGTCCTGGTCCTGCCGGTTCCTGTCTGTCTTTAGCCTTGAAAGTCAGTCTGTGAAGTGGAGGACATTCTTCCTTCGAAGGGTGGTACCTGGTAGGTTCTTGGGAACTGAATTAGATTTCCCCTCCTGAGAGTGGGTGTCTGTAGACAGGCACATACGCTGTTCTGAAATCATCTGTTGCTATCTCTGTCTCTGTTGGAGGTGCTTCCAGTGATGTGTGATCGTGTTTTACTTAACTCAGTATCCCTGCCCAGCATGGCGTCTTACATAACATGCACGGGCAGTCTGTCAATATTAGGACTGGCTGGGTTTTAGGCTGGAAGACAGTGGAAATATACAAGCAAAGGCACAGTGTCTTGAATTTACACTTGGCCTGCAGCAGTGTTCAAATGAAAGGAGCCCCCTGCTTAGGAGGGCCTTTTGAATTGGGCCCCCTGTATAGTTTATAGTGAACCTGAGAGTGATGGCTAAGTACAGAGGGAAGACTTGGTAAAGACATAAAAAGATGGAGGAAAAGGAGCTAGATGACTGAGTTCAAAAAATGATTCATGTGGTTTGGCAGAATCTGAAATGAGAGACCTTTGAGATTGACTCTTCATAAAGAATGCAAATTCAGCTGGGGCTCAGTGGCTCACACCTGTAACCCCAGCACTTTGGGAGGCTGAGGCTGGCAGATCACCTGGGATCAGGAGTTCAAGACCAACCTAGCCAACATCGCGAATCTGCGTCGCTACTAAAAATGCAAAAATTAGCCAGATGTGGTGAGGGGGGCACCTGTAATCCCACTGCTTGGGTGGCTGATGAAGAAGAATCGCTTGAACCCAGGAGACAGAGGTTGCAATGAGCTGAGACTGCGCTACTGCCCTCCAGCCTGTGCGACAGAGCAAGGCTCTGTCTCAAACAAAACAAAACAAAACAAAAATAATGGAAGTTCAACAAAGAATTAAGTGCCAGGGTCTGTGCTAGAAGTCGTCTCATGAGTTGCTTCATTTTACTGTCCCAGTACCCCTGGGAGGTTCATTTCCCCTGTCCCCTTTCACAGCTGTGAAAACTGCAGCCATGGAGATGAAGTTCTTTGTCCAGAGGCTCTGTCCAGTCACAGAGCCAGGTTATGAACCAGTATGTGCCCCTCATCATTAAGGACACTCTGTGGTTTTGGGTGGCCGGGACCAGGCCCTTCCGTATGGCAGCTCTTCCCCAGGGCAGCTCTGGGAGCTGAAGGTCTCTGCACAGGCACTGGCACCCTCTGCTGGTCTGTGCTCGGGAAATGGGATGACAACCAGTCACCAGAAAACAAAGGCACAGAATGAAGCAAAGGAACGAAATGGGACCAAGAGAAGCTTCACTCCTGTTTACCCAGGAGTTCTGCCCATTATGGCCAGGCTGAGGTGGGCATCGAGGGCTGCTGGATTTGGCAACCAGATGGGTTCTGAAGGGCTTGCAGTGGGGCCAGCCCCACTGTTCATTCGTTGGTTGACCTTGGGTGGGTTATTTCACTGTCCTTCTAATATCCATAGAAACGGGGTGACATGGGGTCAGAGAGGTTAAATAATTCACCCACATGGCTGCTAGCTGGAATCCAGTACTTAAAAGTTCACTTTAGTGGCTCACTCCTGTAATCCCAGCACTTTGGGAGGCTGAGGCAGGCAGATCAGCTGAGGCCAGGAGTTCAAGACCAGCCTGGCTAACATGGTGAAACCCCATTTCTACTAAAAATACAAAAAATTATTCAGGTGTGGTGGCAAATGCTACTCGAGAGGCTAAGACAGGAGAATCACTTGAACCCGGGAGGCAGAGGTTGCAGTGAGCCAAGACTGCACCATTACACTACAGCTTGGGCAACAAGAGTAAAACTCCATCTCAAGAACAAAAAGAAACCACAAAAGTTCACTTTATTGGCCTTTCTGTGGCCAATCACCTGCTGGGTTCCAGGCTTTGGGGATACACAAGGTGAACGAAACACATGGTTGCTCCCTGTGCGGCGTGGTGATTTCCTGGACCTCCTATTCCTCCTTATCATTCCTGTTTAAGCCTGAGAAAGTCCTGTGCTTTTAAGAATGTGTGTGGTTAGATTGGGCTCACCTGGATATCCAGGCCAATCCCCCATCTCAAACTCCTTGCTAATCCCACCTGCAAAGTCCCTTTTGCTACATAAGGTGACATATTCAGAGGTTCTAGGGATTAGGGCATGGACATTGTTGTGTGGGGATGGACAGTCTGCCTACCTTGTCAGCCCTCTAGACCCTGAGATGTGTGTTCATCCCCAATACAAAATACATCCACCCTGGCCCAAGGCCTCATCCCATTTTAACATCAAGTCAGGAGTCCAAAATCTGCTCTAAATCTTGTCACCTGAATCACCTCAATCCGGCATGGAGAAGGCTCTGGGGATGACCCATCCTGAGCAGTTCCTCTCCCTCTGTGAATGTGGAACTCACTAAACCAGTTACCTGGCCCTAAAGTGTAGTGAGTGGCCACCCAGAGGGGTACAATCTAGTTCTGTCCCTGATCCAAGGGACCTGATATGTGATATGGGCAAGAAAGATAAGGAAGCAACAAAGAGGCTGTACACCCAGAAATACCAGACCACTAAGCCTCCTTTCCTCCTGTCACAGAGGACAGGGAAAGGAGTTTCTCCAAAGGGTCTGTCAACACCTAATTTCATGTCCTGTGAGCCTGGGAGAAGGCCGGGCTAGACACTGTCCTTCCATGGGTACTGGCCATTTTAGAAAATGAGTCAGGCCAGCCTTGGTGGTTCACACCTGTCATCCCAGCACTTTGGGTGGCCAAGGCAGACAGATCTCCTGAAACCAGGAGTTCATGACCACCTTGCCCAACATGGCAAAACCCTATCTCTACTAAAAATACAAAAATTAGCCAGGCGTGGTGGTACACGACTGTGGTCCCAGCTACTCAGGAGACTGAAGCAGGAGAATCACTTGAACCCAGGAGTCGGAGGTTGCAGTGAGCCGAGATTGTGACCCTGCACTCCAGCTTATGCCACAGAGTGAGACTCTGTCTCAAGAAAAAAGAGAGTCGGAGTCAGGGCCTGCCTTGGAGTCTTCCATCAGACAGCTGTGCATTGCTTGCAGGTGAAAATTTTCCCAGAGCACAGCTAAGCCTGGTTGTCCTGCTTGTAGGACTCCAGCATGTAGCTAATTATCAGCTCCACCTGGGCTGTTTTTGCCTGGTCCCTACCCATATCTTCAATTAGGATGCACGTGCTGGGGGCTCGAGAAAATCTAAGCTCTTAGAAAGCTCTCAGGTGAGTCTCGTCATCAACCAGGTTTGGCAGCCACAGATCTACAGCTTTCTGGCCCAAAGATGCCTGGGGCACAGGAGGTGATGCCTGCGATGCTGGTTGTGAACTGGTGAAGGCTCCCTCGAGTGGGGACCCTGGAGCCCAGGGGACCAGGACCAAGAGGTCCCCGCATGCCCCAGCCTTCTGAGGAGGAGAAGAAAGGAAGCCTGGAAAAAGCCCATGTGGAGGAATAGAGCGGCTCTACCTCGTGGACATCCAGTGCCATACTTGATACTGGGCCGTTGCAAGGTACTGATATCAAGTTCCCTTTTTAAAAAGCCCTGTGACTGGGTGCAGTGGCTCACACACCTCAGCACTTTGGGAGGCCAAAGCAGGTGGATCACCTGAGGTCAGGTGTTTGAGACCAGCCTGGCCAACATGGTGAAATCCCATCTCTACTAAAAATACAAAAATTAGTTGGATGTGGTGGTGTGAGCTTATCATCCCAGCTACTCGGGAAGCTCAGGCAGGAGAGTCACTTGAACCTGGGAGGCAGAGGTTGCCATGAGGTGAAATCACTCCATTGCACTCCAGCCTGGGTGTCAGAGTGAGATTCCATCCCAAAAAAAAAAAAAAAAAAAAAAGTGAGCCCTTTTACAGAAAACTGTTAAGTAAACAATAGTGCAGTGGTACCTGAGTGATTGATGTGTGGGTACTTGCTCTTCCTTGATATTCTAGAGTAGAGCTGCGCTGTCTAATGTGATTGTCAGCAGCCTCATGGAGCTATGGAGTACTTGGAATGTGCTGGTGTGACAGGCAGGGTTGCCAAACTCAGTAAATAAAATTTGAGGATGCCTCCTTCATCAGTGTGGGCTGTGCACAATAACTTGCTTCCAGAATGGAAAGGGGGATAAAAGAGTAACTTTACAGTGGCAAAACCTGACAGACTGCCCCAGCCAGCCAGCCAAGGTTAACGTCAAGTAATACATCACGTTAATAGCACACCCGGGTAAGACACCTGAGGCCCTGGGGGGCCAGGACTTAAAAGCTTCACATTCCACAGCCAATCCTCTCCTCACTGCCCTCATGTGGCTCCTGCAGAGAGTAGTGACAGTGCCCTAAGGGGACTTTAGGAGCCTGATGGGACCACAGGAGGTCTCTTGGAGGCCTGGAGAGGCATGTGAGGACTTGGTGTTTTCCATAGGTATGACAGCCGGGGTTGTTGCTTGAGATCTCTGGTCAGAGCTGGTAATGCTGTGTAATGAATTGCCAGAAACTTAGGAGCTTTAAAAAAAAAAAAAATGTATTGGCCGGGTGCAGTGGCTCACACCTGTAATCCCAGCACTTTTGGAGGCCAAGGCAGGTGGATCACCTGAGTTCGGGAGTTCGAGACCAGCCTGACCAACATGGAAAAATCCCATCTCTACTAAATATACAAAAAATTAGCTGGGTGTGGTGGTGCATGCCTGTAATCCCAGCTACTTAGGAGGCTGAGCAAGGAGAATCACTTGAACCTAGGAGGCAAAGGTTGCAGTAAGCCAATATTTCACCACTGCCCTTCAGCCTGGGTGACAAAGCAAGACTCCATTGCAAAAAAACAATAGCCTTGATAAATTCCTCCCATGTGTTGATGCACTTGCTGTAATATTTATTCCTGCTATGATGAATAACCTGCTCCCAGGGCTGCCCTGCCCATTGCAAGACCTCTTCTGTATTCCTAAGTGTGAGACAGTGTTTTCCCTGCCTTTACCACATTCTCCGCCTCTCTGGCTGGTGTCATGGCCCTTTAAGGAGAGTGAGCACATTGTCTCTGGGATCTTGGTATCTCCAGTTTGGCAGCAGGCCCCGACTTGGCATGAGAAATAAATGTCCGTGGGAAAAATCTTTTTTTTTTTTTTTTTTGAGAAGTCTTGCTCTGTTGCCAGGCTGGAGTGTAATGACACAATACCAGCTCACTGCAATTTTGTCTTCCAGGTTGAAGTGATTCTCCTGCCTCAGCTTCCCGAGTAGCTGGGACTAGAGGCATATGCCACCACACCCATCTAATTTTTGTATTTTTTAGTAGAGATGGGGTTTCACCATGTTGGCCAGGATGGTATTGATCTCTTGACCTTGTGATCTGCCCGCCTCAGCCTCTCAAAGTGCTGGAATTACAGGCATGAGCCACCGCACCCAGCCAGGAAAAGTCTTTTTAAAGGTACACATATATAGTAAAATGCATCTCCCAACACAAATGTAGTTGCACCTCTTAATGTGTGTCTTAAGAAGCCTGAGGTAGGGAAGTTTGGCAGGTGGAAGTTAATTTCCATCTCCTTTCACATAGCATGGCACATGGAAGAGAAAATTTTGGCTTTAGCACTTCGCTGTGAGTGTCCTGTTTATTTCATGGTCATGGGCCTTTAGTACTGAATTTACTTGAAAACCTTGTGAAATTATTTATACAGAAAGAAAGAATGAGGAATCTTGGGTAACGAGAAAGCAACCAGCCAGTTTTGCAAAAACTCCAACATGGGTGGTTTATAACTAATTGAAAAAACATGTCTCATCTCAGTTGACTTAATCCTTTTTGCAGTGTTGGGGGCTTAAGTGTTCCCAGAAGGTTAAAGGAGCATAATCAGCTCCCAAGGTGGTCAGCACTGTGACAAAAATGGACAAAGGGCTCTGCCTGCATCTGAGGGTCCTTCAGTCATGGCCAGCTCTGTCTAGGGGAGTAAATGTCTGTCCTCAGCCTTCCAGGCTATGGCAGGAACATGGGGTTGGGAGAGCTGAGCGTG